GAAAAATTTTAACAATAGCAAGGCTAACAAACTTTTAATTTTTATTTGTTATTTAAAATTCATTAGATAAACATTAAAAAATATATGCTTCATAAAAAAAATTTTAAATACCAGATTATCGATAACTGTTTCGGATGTTTTCGTCGTAAAAATTAATGAGATAATAAAAAAAACTTGTAGGATTTGATTGCAATTATCGGGTTGAAATATTTCGTCCTATAATTGATAAAAATATAAACATCAGAATGGTTTTTTTCTGCGAAAAGAGAACTTATTTTGGATGTGTAATATTTACTTCATACATTTTGATGAAAAATAGTAAAGGTATTTCTGAAAAGTCCTTGGAAAAACTTACACAATTGGCAAATATATTGAGTGTTAAATTGCGTAACGAATTGTGTTCATTTGCCTGTGAATTCAAAGATTTAACAGCAGTTAAATAAAACGGACGATGATATAGTATGAGCAGGTGAGGAGTCTAATGAAAAGTAGAATAAGATAATAACTCAGAATGTGAAATGTGATAATAAATGTAACAATTGTTTAATATGCGTGTATGAAATTCTTAAAAGATACAACAGGCACACAAGTGCATACACTAATTTATATTTCACATATGTATACATTTTAGCTTTATCATTTACACAAGTTAATTGCGAGAGAATATTTAATAGATTATAAATTATATAAAATAGGCTGAGTGAGAAATATTATAGACGAAGAAAAATTAGGATCGTTTTAATGTTAGTATGAGAACTTTTAGTGGAGATTGAACTAAAATATATACTTGTTTATTTGGGTAAAGCTTCAAAGTTAATGAGATTTATCAACGTAAAAATTATATATTATCTTAATTCTTAAAAATCATGTAATTCAAATAAAAAAAAAATATTTAAAAAATAAATAAGTTAATAGTGTAAAAAAAACAACAAGCATTATTTATAAACTGAAAATTTTATTTTTTAAATTTTTTTAAATGGTATTTTTAAAAAAAATAGGAACGCTTTTGAAAGCAGAAAATTTGGATTCATTATTATTTTTGCATGATAATAACAAATAATATGAATTTTTTTTTTGGAAAGAGAAACTAATAAATTTTTTAAAATATAAATTAAAATAAGAATTTTTTTAAAAATTAAAATTTTATACAAAAACTTACTGGTGCCATCAAGGCGCTATAATCATTGAAATTTAAAATAATAAATATAATAAAAATAATACATATTAATGAAATAATTTAAAGAACTAAAAAATCTTGCTAAATTATTGTTACAAATTTTAAATAACATTGGGAGAGAGAAACGTAGGAGAGATTGGTCATTTATTTTCTAAAATAATAAATTAAAGAAATGTACAAAAAAATAATGGTGATAGGCCTTAAAAAATCATCTTACTTTAAAATTTAAATGGTTATGTAATTAAAAAGTGTGCTCTCCTCTCATAACCTCATCTAGTCTTCTGTTATGATTTAATCTTGACGTGGATGCTACCTATTTCAAACAGTGCATTTAAAATTTAATAATTGAATTTTCTTTTCTCTGGGCCACAGGTGAAATCATATTTTTATTCACGTCGATTTATATTCATCCATGCAAATCAAATCTAAGAAGTATTTTAATCTCATAAGCTTTTCCCATAGGGGAGACCGGGGTAAAGCGATTGACGGGGTAACAATGTTAACGCGAATAACTTTTTAACCATTGAGTATAAAGACCTTAAATTTGGTGTGAAGATGTATTTTTATATCTAATTTCTTACCTATGTTCATCTTTTAAAAAACTTACCTGGTTTTATATATTTTGTCAAAAAACTGTTTTTTACCCAAAAAATATAAAAATCATTCTCTAGTATATTTTGCTTTTAGTAAAATTTACATATCCTCAGGATTCAAAATTTGGCACACATGTTCCTTAATGTATTAGCTATAAAATAAAATTTATCTGACATCTTTAGCTATATTAGAAGTCACGCAATAACGATATTTATAATATATGTCACCTAGGGGTAAAGCTGTTATGGGTAAAACGGTTAAAATATAAAATTATTCACATTAATTTTTCATTAATTCATTTATTATAATTTTTATTGTATCAATCAAATAATGAGAAATTATAAAAGAAAAACCATATACAGAGATGTAAATATAATAAATGAAGCCATAAAATATAAAATAACAAATAATACTTCATTAAATTTGTCTGCTAAAAAATTTAACATACCTTATACAACGTTGAGAAGGAGATGTAAAATTGGTATTAAAAGTTCAGATCATCATAAACAAATATTTACAAATGAAGAAGAATCTAGATTGTGTGACTACATATTAGAAGCAAGTAGGTCATTTATGGGATTAACGCCTAAACAAGTAATTAAATTATATTGTTTGTATTATATTGTATTTCATAATTTTAATAACTCAATTTAAATATCAATATTAATTTGGTAACTTTAATAAAAATGCTCAATTGAAATTATATTGTATTTCATAATTTTAATAATGCTCAATCTAAATATCAATATTAATTTGGTAACTTTAATAAAAATGCTCAATTGAAATTATATTGTATTTCATAATTTTAATAATGCTCAATCTAAATATTATTAATTTGGTGACTTTAATAAAAATGCTCAATTGAAATTATATTGTATTTCATAATTTTAATAATGCTCAATCTAAAAATCATGTGGGGCAACAATTTCAGATTTATGATATTCCAGGAGTGTTAAAAAATGAAATACCAAGGGCAGTGACATCAAATAATATATTAAATGGATTCTTAGCATGTGGCATATTTCCTTTAAACCCAAATATATTTACACAAGATTATATCTGCTGTAATAATTCAAATGCTAACTCAAATATTGAATTTGAAAATAATGATGAAAATATTGGAGTGACTCAAAATCTTACAGTGACTCAAAATAATGATAGTGATTTATCTATATTATTGAACGAAAATGTTCCAGATGATATTGATGAACCTTATCATGATATGTTACCATCATGCTCAAAAAATTATAATAAAGTATTCAATCCTTCATCTATAATACCTATTCCAAAATTATTCAATATTTCATCGGATAAAATATCTAAAAAAAAGAATTCAGAAATATTAGCATCTACACCTTATAAAAAAAAATTATTAATTCAGAGAAAAAAAAATATATCAAAAAATAATTGTTTATGTGTTATTTGTAATAAAAACTATAAAAATAGTCGCGAGGGCGATGAATGGCTAAAATGTACAATGTGCCTTGAATGGGCACATTCTAAATGTGCTAATTATGATAATTATTTTACATGTCCTTATTGTATCGATTAGTTTTTAAATAAAAATCATAAATAAATCTTAAATTTGTAATATTTGTTAAATAAAACAATAAATATGTGTCAAATATTATTTTAACCACTTTACCCTAGTGCTTATCCATTTTACCCTGTACCCAGGGTAAAATGGCGAAAATGAGTAGTTTTACATAACTAATCATAGCTCCTAAAATATTATAGGTAGAGGGCTACACTTTTTTTTCTCTTGTAGAAGAGAGATGGGGCTACACATTGATCTATAATTTGTTGTGTTTGACTCTTGTTTAAAATTTTTATGGTAAATATGCAAAATGCCTATCGTTTTACCCCTGTCTCCCCTATAACATCCACAACAATTATTTGTACTTTGGAAAAATGTTAAAATTTTATGAAGCATATATTTTTTAATGTTTACCTGATAAATTTTAAATAAAAATTAAAAATAAAAATTATTTTTTAACCGGTCCGCTCGTAATTTTTGATATTATTTAGCTATAAGATAAAGGGGCGTAGGCTAAAAGTCAGCTCGTTTCAGCAAAAAAGTTGAAAAAATTGTTACTTTTCTATGGTATTTAACTGAAATTTTAATTTAACATGTTTACAATAAATATTTATACCTATTTGCTGTGAAAAAAATCAAAAATAAAGATTATGCCAATTGTCACTTTTCTGTGGAATCTTCACTAAAATTTTAATTTAACATGTTTACAATATATATAATTACCTATTTGCTTTGAAAATTCAAAAATAACGATTATGACAATTGTCACTTTTCTATGACATCGTCACTGAAATTTTATTTTAACATCTTTACAATATATATTTTTACCTATTTGCTTTGAAAAAATGTGAAAATGTTCACTCATAACGATTATTACAATTATGACTTTTATGTGGTATCTTCACTAAAATTTTAACTTAACATGTTTACAATATATGTTTTTACCTATTTACTTGAAAAAAATTCAAAAAAGTTAAAAAATAACGATTATGACAATTGTCACTTTTCTATGGTACATCTTCACTGAAATTTTATTTTAACATCTTTACAATATATATTTTTGCCTAATTACTTTAAAAAAATTAAAAAAAGTTAAAAAATAACGATTATGACAATTGTCACTCTTCTATGGTACATCTTCACTGATTATTTTAACATCTTTACAATATATATTTTTACCTATTTGCTTTGAAAAAATTCAAAAAAGTTCACAAGTAACGATTATGACAATTTTCACTTTTCTATGGTACATCTTCACTGAAATTATCTTAGAATATATGTGTCATCCATAAAGTATTTTTGAAGATTAGTTTATATAAAAAAATCGTTTATTTAAACTATTTATATTTTACATTCTTTTTTATACTAAAGACTTTGAAAAGGTTGCAGAAATCAAAAGCAGAAAATTTATTGATATTTAAATTAAAAAAAAATATAATCATCACATATTCAAAAATAGTTTGCTATATATATTGACAATGTAATTTATCATAAATTGATCTTTTTTTTAAAAAGTTAAAAATAAAAAATTGAACATTAGTTTGTTAAGTAAATTGATTTATAAAATATAAAATTTAATATTAGTTTATAAACAAATTGATTTAAAATAAAAAAAAGTTGTTTTTAACAAAAAGAAAGAAACAATTTTTATTACATTTGAAATATTTAAGTTACGCCATAAATGACTTAAGGATAAAAAAAAATAATTTTTTAAAGTTAATATTATTTAACATTTCACACTTTTTTTTCTTTTTTTTTTATTTGCCCTCTGTCTATAATTTAGTTGTATGTCATTCTTGCTCGTTAACCCCTTCGTTGATCTTTTGTACGTTTTATCTATTTAGTTCATAAAATCTTTCATAGTTTCGTCTTGATAAATGATAGTTATTTTGGTTGTAAAATCTTATCTTGCCTTGCTCCCTCCAAATCTTTTAAAAAAACGGTTTAGTATGTGATTCGACTTTGTCATCCTATTGTTAATTATTATCATAATTTGTTATTGAATAATTTTAGAATATATGTAATATTGAATAAGAATCGCCAATAAATCGAAATAGAATTAATTTAACGAATATCGAATTTTGAATAAGAATAATTGAAGTAGAATAAATTAATCAAATGTTGAATAATCGAAATAATATGAATTGATTGGTCGCGTTTTATTTTAATTTATTATATTATAAATATCGCGTTTTAAATAATAGCGTTTGATATAATAATTTTTATCGATATTAAATTTCAATTTTATTTATTTATTTTAAATAATTTTTTATTAATATTAAATTTCAGTTATTTTTATTATTTTTTTTTTTAAATTTTACTCCCTTGTTTTTTAAATCAAAAAATAACTCAAAATTACTGTTTTCTTTTATCTTCAATAAAAATAATGTTTTAAAGTGGTCAATGTAACTTACACATGGTTTGTCCTTAAAACATAATTTAGATTTCATTGTATTTAAAATTTTAATTTTGAAAGATTCGTCCACTTTATCATTAATTATATAATGTAAATGTTTATTTGTATTGTCTACTCTCTTGATTTTTTTAAATTTATAAGTGTCAAACTTTAATGATTTGGATTCTACTTTTTTAAAATTTTTGTGTATGGGAATTTCAACTATTTCAGTTTCATTAATTTTTTCAGTACTAAGATTTATATCATTATTTTTACAGTCATAATACTCTTTTAAAATTTCATCATGTGATCTTATGGGTATATTTATATTTTCATCATTTTTTATAATCACAAATGTTTTAAATTTTATTATATAATTTATTTCTTTTAGTTTATAAGGTTTTAATTCAATATCTAATTTTTTTATACTAAAAGATTTATAATTATAATTTCTTTTATAATAATGTGTTTCTTTATCCAATTTTCTATTTTTATAACAATTCTCATTATTAGATTTACTAAAATTTTTATTAGAACAATTTTCTTTTATTTCTGTAGCCGATTTATAATTACATAAACACTTTAATGTGCATAATGTTTTATCATAACTCGAATTTAACTCTCTTGGAAACACTGCTTTCATGACTAAATATAATTCATCTGGTAAATTACCTATTAAGCTTAGAGTATTCTCACTATCATGAAATTTTAAATAATCATCTAACTTGTCAATGGACTTTGTTTTATTATTAGTATCCCAAATTGGTCTATTCATGATTTAGAAAAAAAAATTTTTTTTTTTTTTAATTATTCTTCACTTTTTTTAAAATTAATCATATCTTACGTGTTTTAAGAATAATATAAATATTACATTCCAGAAATATTTTTTATCTAGTTGTCTATATTCCAGTAGCTAAAATCAATCGTGTCTGTGTATTTAGAATAATTTGTAAGTCATTATATCCCAATTTTAGTAATCATTTCCATTATACATGATAGCTCCGTAGTTTGATGTCTAGGTTAACAATTCTCTTCATAGTTGATTGATCCATTTGATCTAATTTATATTTTATTTTTTTTTTGAAAATAAATAAATTTAATTTAAAATCGTATATCCCTCCGCTGCCACCATGTAAAGGTTGGCAGGGATCAAGGCAGAAAATAAATGGTGTAAACGTATATTTCGTGAATTAAAAAGTTAAAAATAAAAAATTGAATATTAGTTTGTTAAGTAAATTGATTTATAAAATATAAAATTTAATATTAGTTTATAAACAAATTGATTTAAAATAAAAAAAAAGTTGTTTTTAACAAAAAGAAAGAAACAATTTTTATTACATTTGAAATATTTAAGTTACGCCATAAATGACTTAAGGATAAAAAAAAATAATTTTTTAAAGTTAATATTATTTAACACTTTACAATATATATTTTTATCTATTTACTTAATTCAAAAAAGTTAAAAAATAACGATTATGACAATTGTCACTTTTCTATGGTACATCTGAAATTTTATTTTAACATCTTTACAATATATATTTTTGCCTATTTACTTTAAAAAAATTCAAAAAAAGTTAAAAAATAACGATTATGCCAATATCACTTTTCTCTGGTACATCTTCATTGAAATTTTATTTTAACATCTTTACAATATATATTTTTACCTAATTACTTTTAAAAAGTGTTCAAAAATAACGATTATGTATGACTTAATTTAGTCGACTTAATTAATTCTTTTAGTCGACTAAATTAAGTCGTTTTAGTCGACTATAGACAATATTAGTCGTTTTAGTCGACCAAATTAGTCGACTAATTTAGTTGCTAAAGTTGTCGAATTTTTCGACTAAAACAATTAGTTAGTCGAAATTTAGTCGATTAACAACACTATGTTTTACGATACAGATATTTCCAAAAGTTCATTAAGAACAAGGTTTTTGATTAAAAAAAATTGAAAAAGATATCCAGATATTTCCGAAAAATTGACATTTTGGGTTAGTGTGAAAAAACTTAAATAATGCTAAACAAAACACTTTATATTCATTTCATTTATTTTCATATAAGATATATAATATAGTATAATACAATTATAGTGCGCACAAATTAAGCTTTCAAACGCTGCGTTGCAAGCGAAAATAATGCATTTCAAATGGCCTCGTACAAATTGTTAAAATTACCGTTTGGCGTTTAACCATTTAAAAAGCGCAAATAAGTTTGCTTTTCCATTTCTTTTTTTATTCTTCCCTTTGTAATATTATATAAAATGTAATAATAAAAATAATTTATTGAGACAATTCGTATAAAAAAATACCTAAAGACATAACAATTTCTTATTTTAGTAATAAAAAAATATAAAATGTCAGAGCTTTTATGAATCTAACCGTTATTTATCGGATATTTCATTGCTCTGTGTATTTTCTCATTGATATTCATTTGCATCTTGTATATATTTCCTCAGTTTTAATCATTATTTCGTCATCTTATTATTTTATTCGCACAATTAGCCATATCATCCCATATTCGGCGGTAGTAATCCCAGTTCACACCTTATTTTCTTAGAATCAATTTTATTGGGATCTTTAAAGCTTCATTATAAATCTAAACGACAGAGTTTGCAATTATATTATATGTTGCTTCTTGGCAGGGGTTTGAACCAAACCCCAACCAGGAAAAGAAAACCCGGGTTTTTGAGAAAAAAAATTGAAACCGAACCCGAATTTTTTTTGAACCAGGGTTAAACCGGGTTCACTTTATTGTTTAAATTAATATAAGATATTTATATAATTGTTAATACAAATATTAATAATTTACTGACATTTTATAATATTTTTAAATTTCCAATTAAATGAAGTGTTAATAAATTATAAACAACTTTATTCATTTACTCCATTTTTAAATTTATTCTCAAAGATTCCTATTGGATTGTTAATAAATTTTAAACAATTAAATTCATTTACGCCATTTATTTTTTAACTTATTCTCAAAGATCATTAATTAGAGAAAAATGAAAGTGAACAAGTAAAAATAAAAATTATTATATTGTATATTGTTAATTTAAAGAAATACGTCTAAATAAATTTTTAAAATCTATACATGACTATGCATTGTATTTTTAACTATATTTTGCCTATAAATAAAAAATTTATGTCAAGTTTTTTAATTATGATTTAAATATAAAATTTTTTTTATCAATTCAAAAATTCTTAAACCCGAGCTGAACCCGGGTTCAAAAATATTTCCCTGAACCGAACCCACCTATTTTTATTAACCTTAAACCGAACCGAACCCGGGAATGCCGGGTTTGCATCCTTGAATTTCGCGTTATTCAATGTCGAAACCTTTCATAATTTTTTTTCCGCTTCTGGATATATTTTGTTTGTTCTATAAATTATCGCATTAATTCATTTTTCTTGTACGTAGTCGTGTCATTTTACTCAATTAATTTAATTGTTTTATATCTTAAATAATTCGTGAGAAATATTACTTAAAATGTTTAATAAAAAAGAGACTGCAACGACTGGCTAAGATGACGAGGGGTTTCAGATAATGGATCTATGTCGAGGTGAAAGTTTTGGGTGTTAGATTATTATGGCTGACAATTAATTGTAGTATGCTTCTAATGTTCAATCATCTTATATAAATACTATGTTTGATGACGAAAAACAAAAATATTTGCTTTTCAAATAAAAAAATTTATCATTTTATCGAAATTAATAAAATTTCTAAAAAATAATAATATTCATGAATGGGAAAATTATAAAATATTGCATATTCATAATTATATTTCGCACTATAGTAGTAATTTTATAAAGACAAGTTTGTTTTTGTCCCTAAAAAAAGTTCTTTTAGCTTAAATATTACTAAATTATTGAATCTTTGGAAATATTTGCAGCTGAGGAGGGGGAGTGCTTAGAAATTAATAATTGTAGAATATTTTTCTTGAAAAATCATATTTATCTTATCAAAATTTTATTTCTAAATTCGGTGTTTATTAATTTATAATGTTGAAAATAGGGATATGAAAAATATAAAAACGATTAAAATGTAAAATAAAAAAACAAAAGAATTTAAAATTTCTAATAAAAAATGAGAAATGGAACTTATAAGCTCGATTTAACAAAATGGGCAAATTATTAAATGATTGTGATAATTAAAAATTTACAACAAAATATTGTTAGATTATACCTGAGATGATTGATTAGTAGCTAGTTACTTTTGAAAAACATAATCGTTACATTATTGAAATATATCGAGAACTATCTGCACAAAATGGCCAAAAATTTAAAAATCCTGAAATAATGTAGATAATTAATATTTTCAAGTAGATAGGGTTAATTTCAGGTTCTTAAAAATTAAATAAGGTTTTTGGTTTATTGGAAATTTTTCAAAACTCACGGATTCGTCAGGTTCAAATTCATACCCATGTATAAATGATGTTAAATTTATTGTGGGTTAAGAGATTCATGTAATTTCTGCATAAAGCTGATGACTCACCTGTGTCAAAAATATTTGTGACCATAAACCATAAACCTGTTTATAATTTGGATTGCACTAAGTATGATTCATCCTATAAACAAATAATTGTATACAAATTCTTCCTTTATTCTATAAAAAAAATTTTAAGATCTTTCTTTCCATTCTATTCGGATATGTTGATATCAAAATTATAGTTAGCCAATGTGAACCCTATTGTATACCAGCTAATGGTTTATTTATAAGGTAAAAGAAACTACAATTATTGTAAAGATCTAGTAATCATATTGATGGGCATCTTTTATAATAACTTAAAATTACCTCACCGACAGGAACCAACTAATAGTCGAATTTCGATATAAAATACAATAAATTTACCCAAATCAGTTCTATTAAACATGGCCCAGCGCTGAAAAGTCGAGGTTAACATATATAAAGAACCATTTGGTCCTTATCGATAAAAATTGACTAAAACTATTTTTTTTAAATCGTTGAAAATAAATTTATTTCATAATTCAAAAAAATAGTTTTTTTTATTATGAGGAGCATCTAAAATCTCGTTAGTAATCCTGAGTATCATTAAAAAATCAAAATAAGTGTTTATATGCTAAGTTCAATTCACTAAATATATAATAAATTTTCTTTTATATTTTTTTAAAAATTGTATTACAAAAATATATAACACAATATCCAATAATATAAAACAATGATTATTAAAGAAATTAATTTCCAATCCACCAAGTACTCCGTATTCAAGTTAGATTCTGATATAACTCTATGGCATCCTTTTCTGCTTTAACTCTAATCAAGAAAGTGGTAGGACTTTTTGAGCAGGAACTATCTTCGAAACTAGGTAAAACTATCAAAAGACTATTTTTGCCTTTTTTTTTGTAATTATAAAATAAAATTATCTATAGAATAATTTTTCACCCTTTTTAAACATTAAAATCGTTTATAATAAAAAAAATATAGGTTCTGGGTAGTAACGCCTCACTCTTTTTGCAGAAAATGTAATGTAACTTTTATAAAACATTTACAAATTAATTTTTTTTTCTTTAAAATATTTTAAAGCCAGCTTAAAAGAGAGAAAATTTTATCGTGTCATTTTTGAATCGATAATTTGATATAATATTATAGGAAAATAAATTGGTGATCATGCTTATTTTAAAAATAAACATATAAGTTGCAATAAAAACCGGAAATAAGCGAATTATCGGAAGAAAAAAAGTTTGTATGGACGGGGCTTATCGAGACAAAAACAAAATGTTTACATTCTTTTTCTAAAAAAAAGAAGAAATTTTGGATGGGTCAGAGCCTTTGTTGCCAGTATTAGATAATGATGCTAAGATTTTTGGAAAAATTTTAACGGAATTTGTTTTAGAATTAATAATTTGTTTAGATGCAATTTTGTGTTTTTCAAGTTTAAACTTAACCATTTTTAACATTTCATGAGAGTTATTTTCTTATTTTTTTTGAATCAAGAAAATAATTATCGTTTAATGTTAAAAGGAATAATAAAAAAGATCAGGCTTGGACTTGATCTTATTGAATATAGTACCTTAACTGGCTTTCTTTAAATAAGTATGCCAAATATGTTTTATAAATTTTATAATTTTGGGCAACAAGGAGATATAAATTAATTAGTGCTGTGAAGTAACGTCAAAAAAGTAACGTTGCGGGAACCAACATTAAAAACCTAAGATTAACATGGTATTGGTTCAAAGTATTATATTGAATTTTTTCAGGGTTGGCATGTAGGTCAATTGACCGGTCAAAGGAGTATTTGATCGGTCAAATACTCTAAAATATTAATGGCGAATAAATATTTTGATATAATTAACTAGTATGCATTAAAAGCATGTTTATCAATCTTATTAGGTTACAATTATTTAAAAAATTATTTGTATCATGAATGTTAAAAACAAAAGAATTTTTTTATTGTTAAAATATAAATATGTAATTTTTCTAAATATAGTAATATTTTTAGTTATTTTTTTTGCCTAATCATTGCCGTTTCTCGCCTTCTTTATTTTTTTCAATTCATTTTTCTTAAAAAAAATAAAAATACCCGATTTATTATAATCATAATATAATTTTTTCATTCTTATTTTTTAATAAATTTAAATTTTATTTAATATTTAGCCGATTATAAATTATATTAATTCTCATTTGTTTTACTTACACTTGCTATATTTGGTTTTTAAAATTAATTTTCATTTTAATTGTTCTGGTCAGATTTACGGAATATTATTCAATTCTGGTAAAAAGTTATATATATTATATTATATTTATAATATTAAGAAATTATTGGAATAATTGGTCGATAATTATAAAATAGTTAAGATTGATTAACTTTACAATAATCAAAATCATTTTTTGTTAAATTTTAATATATTAGGGATTATGGTCAAACCAAAGCATCATGTTTGGAAACATTTTCAAGAAGTAAGCGATGGTAAATCAGTTAAAGCGGTGCAAGATGTCCTATATCACCCACGTTGATAGAATGGTCAAACATTTATTAAGCAGCTGTACTATGTGCCCTGTTATAATTAAGGAAAAATTTTATTCAAATTCCAAAATATCAACCTCTACAAAAAATATCACAAATGTAATTTGTAATACTTCTATCTAAGTCTAACTCTAATGAAGAATTGGGTGAAATTAGTGAGAATGATTATCAAATGAACAATATTTTGTCTTGTGACTCAGGAGAATTTGATTCCATTATTTCTAATCAATCTACAAGCAAGGCGATTAAATATAAATCTCAATCTTGTATAACCGGTTTCATAGATAAAATTAATCCCAAAGAAAAAAATGAGCTGGATCAATTGTTTGCAAAGGCTGTATATGCGAGCAATTTACCTTTCCACATCACTGAAAATCCCTACATCCAAGAATTTTTTAAAAAAATACGTCCTATTTACACATTACCCAGGAGAAGGCAGCTGGCTGGATATCTTCTGGACAAAGCGTCAGGTGATATGGAGGTGAGAATTGCAGATATAATAGATAAAGCTCCTTACTTATCAATTGTATCAGATGGCTGGAGCAACATTAGAAACGAGAGTATTACTAATTTTATGGTGATGACGCCTGTTCCAGTGTTCTACAAATTTCTAAATACTGAGGAAAATCGCCATACGGCAGATTATATTGCCCAGGAATTTAAAAATGTAATTCATGAATTGAATCCGGTAAAAGTCTATTCTTTAGTTACTGATAATGCCGCTAACATGAAAGCAGCCTGGAGAATTCTAAAATCTGAATTTTTATAATCATATACAATGTTATGGTTGTGCAGCGCATACATTGCAGTTATTCTTTCACGATTTTGAACGCCTTCAGTGACCATATTTCAATAATTAAAAAAATTGTTAAATTTTTCAAGAATAAACACATACCAGCTGCAGTATTTTCCCGTAATAAGAATCTTCATGGCATACCATCTACATTAAGTACAATTAGCCAAACAAGATGGGCATCGTCAATAAAATGTATGGAGCAAATTCAAATATGCAAGAAAGCTCTAAAAGCATCAGTTGTTGAAGAAGCTGTTTGTGATATTTGTCCCATAGAAATTACCAATAATATATTAAACGAAGAATTTTGGACGAAAAATTTAAAATTTTTAGCTATACTCCAACCTTTAACTACCTCATTGTTGAAAGTGCAAGGGGATAAATGTACTTTGGCCCAAGTAAAAAACGAGATGCTTAATTTGGAAAAACACATAATACAATCATGCCATGATTCTATATTTTCTCCATCTCAAGAAAAAAAAATTAAGGTTATGTTTGAAAAGAGAAAAACTGATCTAAATACATGTGCTCACAATGCTGCTTATTTATTGGACCCCCAATATCAATGGGAGCATCTTACAATACTGAATTTGATGAAGCATGTAATATAATACAAGAATTGGGTATTTTACAAGGTGGTGATAATCAAAATATTTAGAGTAATATAGTAAATTTCAGAAGCAAAAGCGGTATATTTAATAGCCATAATATGTGAAAAGTTGTAACTTCCATAAGAAACAATCAAATTTCGGCCTCAAGTTGGTGGAATGCATTTTGCCCACCTTGCCCATTAAGAGAAGTCGCTAATATTTTACTAACATTTCCTAGTTCGACTTCTTCTTCTGAAAGAAATTGGTCGGTTTGGGGCAATATTCACACGAAAAACAGAAATAGATTAAAGGCTTCTACAGCAGGAAAATGAGTAAGAGTGTATCATAATTTAAGATTGATTAAAAATATTAAAGAAAATAATGATATTGAATATGAATCGGAACAAGACTCTGCCACGGAGGGTGAAACATTGACTATAGAATGAATTAAAAAATATTATGATATTTATTATTATACATAGATTTATTATAATATTATATAAATGCAAAATAAAGTTAATATTGGTGTAAAAAACATTTATTTTGACCGAATTGTATTTGACCGGTCAAATGCACAACCCTGAATTTTTTATATCTTCTATTTCTTGTTTTTCGCTATTGGTTTAACTATAATTGTTAATAAATTTAAAGAATAAAAAATAGTGATTTTAAAAACTTTGTTTAAATAATATATATATATATATGAAATAGTGGCGTAGCCAGGATTTATCCAATAACAAAATTTTACAGAGAATTTCATTATAGATTTTATTTATTATTAAAATACTATATATAACATCCCATTATTTAACCAGATGTGTTGAGCACTAAGCGCTCTTGTTTGTCTGATCAAAATTTTGAAATTAATTGTTGCTAAAAATAAATAAAAAATTGTTACATAAAGATGTTATTTTATAATATATTATAATTAAATATATAAACATTTTTTTTATAAAACGATCTTATATATTCTTTTTGTATAGTTTTATTTTATTATATATTGTCGGATAAAAATAAATATTATTTTTGTATATATTTAATTTTTTTAAGTAACGAGTAGCCCGTTACTTTTTTGAAAAGTCGGTAATGCGCGATATTTTTTAAAAAGGTAACGAGTAACGGTAACGCGTTTCTTTTTTGTAGTAACGTTTACAGCACTAAAATTAATCCATTAAGCTTTATATGTATAAAATTTTATGAAGGTTTCATAATAAATACTTATTAATGGACAAATCGTATCTTTTCCTTATATATTATAGAAATTTCGAGTTTTAAAAATAACTTGGCATTTTGCTAATTTTAAAAATATAAGTAAGAATTATGCAAAATATCAAATTTTAAGGGAAAATATTATCAAAGAGGGTTTAAATGCGGTTGATACAATGTCATTTTTAACAAACAGTACCGATAAATAAATGCTTCTATAAGAAGGAAAATAACAATTGAGCAATGAGCAGTTCGATATTCGCGAAAAATAGATTAAGGTGGTTTGATTGATCATGTTGAAGGGGACAAGATGATGAAGACAAGTTTATAGATTTTAATAACCATTGAAGGGGAGCCAATCCTGGAAGGGGGAGGCGAAAAAAAATGTTGATAACCATTTGTAGATATGAGGATACTATTTAAATGAGGAACTATTAACAAAACTTTAAAAAATGAGGCAATGACTAAACCCATGGATGAATCCATTAGTGAAAATGAATCACTCTTTATTAACTCCTGTACACTATCCCAAATTTCATAAATTCATATAGATAACCTGACAATGTGACCGGCGTCTTCCCTTTTGTGACGGTGGCGTTAAGCAATATGGTCCCAGACGCATTCGAGGCCCTTACAAGTAATTGAAGTTTTCGGTTTTGTTTTAGGTAACAAAAACCCAAACCAACGTCTTTGAATTGCGAGAACTGCGTGTTAGAAATAAATAATTTTAAAAATATGGTTATGATTTGATTTGCATTTAGTCAAAAACCTGGTTCATATATAGAATTTAAAATCAAACCCTATGAGAAATGCAGTCCAAAATGTCGGTGAAATATATATGTCGTAATTTTTAAAGGGATCATGACTATCCGGGATCTTCACGGGATTAAAAGGGATCCCTTTAAAATTTCAATTTTTTAAAGGATAAAGAACTATACGGTATTATCACTGGGGCAGAGATTGACCCCCAGTTGAATAAAACTTTTGATTAGCTATCGAATGATACCCTATACTAGACATATCTTATATCATAAGGCCAAAAAAAACAAAATTGAAAATTAAAAACAACGAAACTCGTGGAAAACGCTTTTAAAATAAGATTCCTCTTTATCACGATTAAAACGTGATACCGTATTATCATTCCTTAATTATCAACCCTAATTTTTTAGTTATCCCTTTAAATCCCGTGAAGATCCCGGATAGTCATGATCCCTTTAAAAATTACGACATATATAATTATAATTCACTTAAATTTTTATAAATCTTATCAATAAAAAATTTGAGTTATAGGGGTCTAATCGTGACTACTTCTCTCAAAATATATTTGATAATTTAAACTAAAACGTGTTTTTTATTTTTATAAAAGTTTTTTAATCTAAGGTTTTTGAGTAAGTTTTTCATTTAATTTTGAAACTTGATTTTTGGGTTACTCACTGAATCACGGGGAAATTTTTGATATTATTTTTTTTTATAAAATAATAAATAAATGATCATCTGCATTTTGGTGGAAATTTTTATCATAATTCATTAATTTTACAATAAAACGGAGTATATTTAAAAATTTAAAAGTGAAAATTTTCATAATTCTTTAATTTCACAATAAAAACAAGACGTGTTCTATGAAGCTATTAAGTTAGGACTATTAAATCAAATACTAAATTATTAATCAATTTTTTAGAATAAATTTTTTTGTGAGTAAGGTTGATATTTCAGAGAGGAAATAGTTATTTTTAGATTATAAATTAAAAGTAAGCACTTGTTTAATTTAGGGCATTGTTGGGTTTAAAATCTTTGAAATTGAATGACCCATAAAATTATATATAATTTAATTGATACTCAATATAATATTGTTTTCAGTTATTTAATTTTATTAAAATTGTATCACATAAATTACAAACAATAAAATAGTTAGGACTATTAAATCAAATATTAAATAATTAATCAACTTAAAAAAACAAAAAAGAAAATATAATATTTTATGTTTTAATATATTTAAAAATGTTTGAAAGATATATAATAATACTATAAAAAAAAGAACGGAGATGGTGTGACGCAGGGAAACAAAAATGAAAAAGGGACGTAAGTGTTGTCTAGGATAGCTCTTTGGCTAGAAGACTACCATTGAAACTGATATAATTAGCTTTGAGAATCGCTATGGATAATCGTTGACGAAGAAAAAAACCCTCTCGAGGTTCTTCTGAGAGTTTGCTGATTTGTGATCCTAAGTTTTTGAAAAATGCTAAGGCGAGTTTGCCGAAGGTGCCAAGAGTGGTTGATATGATTGGGATGAAGAAATGATCGTTCATTATTTCTGTGTATTTAGAAGTTTTAAGTTGTTCCTTCTGGTCAAGGATGTTGATGGCGTGGTTGGATGGGGCCAAGGGGTCAATACAGGAATAGTCCCATACCAAAAGTTAACCTCTCCTCCATGGGATTTGAGAGATCCCGTCAGGACGTTTACCGTCAGATCTAAAAAGACCCTGTGGTTCTAGAGTGGAAGGAATTTGGGCGGATTTCAGTGCATGTTGGATGATTGTATCACATTGCTTGTGTCTGATGAATCGTCCATTGCAGGAGCGACAATGTAAACTATGTCTACCCTTAGAGTCAACTGGCGAGTTGCACCCTGAGCAGATGTGAGGGTGAGTGATGGAACAATTTAGACGAATGCCGATGGCGTGGGTAAATTCATTGTTGGATAGTTGAAGCTCCCGTACCATTGAGCAGGGAAGAGAATAGGGTGCGGTCGGTAGATTGCATGCTAGATAAGAGTTTCAACGCAGCGAGCAACCACTGATGCATCCCAGTCTTTCTGTCTATAGGTTGTGGGGGGATGAGAATCAGCCTTGATCCTTGTTTTCCAAATATCCATAGCCACGATTAAGGAAAGGTCTTCTTTAGAATTATGGGCGGTGGTTATTGGCTTTGTCAAGAGACTACTCGATATGAAAGTAGTTATTGCTAAGTCATGTGGAGATCTGATGCCGAGACCAACAAATTTGGTTGGAAGAGTTACTTGGGCCCAAGCGGTTTCGTTGAATCTGATATTTACTATTTTTTCGGATAAGTCCTTTATTCCTTTTTCGTAAGTTTGGAGAGGAATAGGATATTTAAAAATTGGTGTTGACCGAAGTGCGTAAAGAATCCTTGGTAAAAAAAGAAATTTTTTAGCAAAAAAAGGACTTGTGTGATGGAAGAAGTGTAAAGATGTCCTCCAGTTTAAGGAGTATGTCAAGTGTGGAATGAAGAAAGGTGCTTATTGCCTCGTACAGGCGATCCTAGATGTGTTAATTCAACGCTTGATGTGAATTTGAAATCGTGAGTGTTGGGAGCATTAGAATTTAAATGTGAGAATTAGTTATTTTTAGATTTAAAAGTAAGCACTTGTTTAATTTGGGCATCGTTGGGTTTAAAATCGTTGAAATTGAATGATCCATAAAATTAAATATAATTTAATTGATACTTTTATATATAATATTGTTTTCAGTTATTTTAAATTGTATCGCTTAAATTATTAAAATACCAAATTAGACAATTTATAGCTAAATTGTAAAAATTAAAATATGTCTTCATTCTAACAGACCAAATAATAAAAAATAAATTTAAAATAAATAAATAAAAAAAAATAATGTTAAAAATTTCCCCGTGATTCATTGAGTTACCGATTTTTGTATCGATTATATTTTAATAAAAAGTAAAATGCTATTATTGATATTTTTTAAAAGTAGCATACTATAGTTTCTTAGTGTTGTTAAACAACTCGATTTCTGTCTATCTTTAAAATCGGTGAACTCAAAATTTTATTCTGAAAAATATTATACATACCTGAGGATTTTGCCAATAGACGAGTTATAGATACTATTTTTTAAATGTAACGTTTTTTAAAAAATTATATTAAAAAATGTTTTCTCAAGAGCTAACAAGGACCAGTCCAAATTTTAAAAAATAAATTTTGGTCCAACCCGGATGGTTTTTTTTCAAAAAACATCGGCCAGCCCAGGTTATTTTTAGGTCTGACCCGGACTCTTTTAATTTCTAGAGATAAAAATGGCGATTTAAAATATATGACCTGGCCCGTGTATTTTATTTAGGCCCGGCCCAGGTATAAAAAAATTTCTTAGGCCCGGGTATGTTTAAAAAAATTAAAATACGGCAGGTCATTGAATAAAATATTGCAGCCTAAATTATACTTTTTTTAAAAATTGGGATGTTTTTTTTATTTAGTTCCCCTTATTTATTTTAACTTTACCTAAATAAAATATTATATTTACGAATAAGATGTGATTATTTCGATTTCCATTTCAAGTTTTAAATAAGTGAATGAACGCGATCGTGAACGAAGTTTGTTTTTTTATGGAAAAAAAAGATGAACGACGTCCCATTTTTGAAGAACTTTACAATAGCCCAAATAAAATAAATGGTTTATAGTAACTCCTACAGGGAACTAATATTATTCTTACCAAATCTAAAATATGCCCAAAAAGTATAATATCATTTTAAAATCTTCAAGTTCTAATTTAAAGAGACATTTGATTGTAATATTTATTATTATATAATATAATTATAAGCAGCCGGTTAATTATAACAAATAATTCTTTGTATCATAGCAGATTCATTATAATCATACCATCGGTATTTTTAAATTACTTTTAATCCTCAATTTGTTAAAATATTAATTACTACTTTTTAGGCATGACGGTCCATTACTTGAATACAGTCGCATTAGATTAAGAAGGAAAATCGGCATGTTAGCTTGCCAATGGTTAACTAGCAAACAAACATTTCATTATTTAACAAAAACAATTCCAAACCTTCTCAACAAATTTAAAATACATAATTGCAGTGACATTATATGTCACTGCAATTATAGTTGGGTAATGGCTAAATGTCGGCTCAATCTTCAGGCGCTTGCCAGATGAAATCTGTTAACATTAAGTTGTTTTAATTTATATTAGTTTCTTCCAAATTTGAGCGGGTATATTGTGATAGTTTGGAGCTAAAAACTTGGCTTATGCGATTTTTAGCCGTCTAAAAATCAGGCTTTAACAAAAATCTTTAAATGCATTTAAGGATTTTATTCGCCCAAAATTTTGAGCAAATGTTAAACCCTGCTAAAAATAGGTTTAAATGGCTAAAAATATAGTAATTACCCAACTATACTGAAAATATAAGAATATTTTTAAAAGCATTAGGTAGTAAGTATAACAATGTTCAAATATATATATTAGATAACAAACGATTACAGGTAGAAAATAAATAGTCCAGATTTTAATTTATATATTTATTTTTAAAAAAATTATATATTGAGAAAATATCTGAGGGTGACGAGGAAGATGAATTGGTACCATTATCATTAAATGAGGGTATTTGAAAATCAAAATAGAGATAAAAAATTTATTTATCTGCCCAAACATACTCCTACGTCGCCACAATCTTAATTTAGTGGCAAGTTTTGTTGGGAAAAGAGCATAAGAAAATATATGTTTTAAAAACATATAAAAAGTGCAATAAGTGCTAAAATTTATGGAATAAGCAAAATCAATCTACAACATTTGCTATTGATTTAAAGGTAAAATTATCAAGATGACTTATAAAGCCTGTTTTACAAGATAGAATTCTAGTTTTTTAGTTTGGAAGATAAGCAATTATTAGCTTTATATTTATTAACAAGACGTACAAACAATTCTATCAAGAAGAGATGGAA